GCCCCCGGAATGCATTTGAAAAACACAGGGGAGAGGATCTGATCGACCCAACCTAGTTGGTGTGTCTAGCCTTGATAAATCAGCTGCTGCCAGGGATCAGAACATGAAGGGCAGACAGCCGCTGGAGCCCATAGTTGATTTCAGGCCGTCCCCAGAGTAGGGGAACCCCTGCGAGCTGCACAGTTGCCCTCAGGGTATGTCTGCTCTACAGACACTTGATGAGGTCTAGCTGATCTCCAGTAACCTTTTCCCAGGTCACGGGTTAAAGGAGAAAAGCTAGGCCCCATGATAGGCTTGGAAAGTGCCCCAGTAGGCTAGAAAGAGGGCTCTCTGATGTCAGAAAGAAATAGAACATTTAGAATATGCAAAAAAATACGTATAGCTACGTTTTCTAGCGATTTCTGGAGAAGAGTTCTGCGGGCCACTGAGGCAGAAGGTCTTTGCAGGCCTCGAGGAGCTGGACGTAGACCGTGTGTTACCCACACCCCCCTTCTTGCTCACGTGTGGTTCAAACCCACAGGAGCTAGGAGGCAGAGCAGCACAACAGTGAGAGCCTAGCCTAGAGTCGTAGACTGTAATCTCATGCCCCACTCCGCCCTAGTGAGCTGTTGTGACCTTAGGCAAGTTACTGAACTTCTCTGAGCCTGTTGGTTGATCCCTCATCCATGCTGGAGATTTAGTGTGATAAATTTTGTAAGTGCCTGGCACATAGCAAGCCCTCCCTCCATGGCAGAGGTGATGGTGATGGTGATGGTTGTAGGGAATGCTACTGCTGATTATTCCACAGGGAAAATGCCTGCAGAATTCTGCTCCTGCCTCTGCAGCTTGTCCCTTCTGTAGGTCGGTCCTTCTGTTCGGGTCCCCCGCTGGGGTAGAGTTACTCAGAGGGACGCAGGGCAAGCCGGAAGCCTTTTTTGTCTTTGTTCAGGGTTTTGCCTTGATCCCTGTTCATCTCCCGTTCTCCATCTGCTGCAGGAGTGAGAGAGAGAAGCACCCTGCTGATGACTCCGAGGGAGGGGCCCTGGACATGTGCTGCAGCGAGAAGCTGCCGGGTGAGTCTTCCTGGCACCCAGGTGCCCCCAGAGTTCCGAATGCAGGGAGAGAGCCCCGGATGACACGGGCTGGAGAAGAGCCCGCTTAGCTGTGAACTTGCTCGAGAGGAGTGACTCAGCTGGTCACAAGGTCTCCGTTTAAATGAGGATTTGTTTTTCTAATCCCTGATGTCTTTCTGACCTGTTGTCATATGAAGCTGCTCTGGGCTCCCGTGGAGGGAAGAGCAGGCACTGAGGGTGTGCCGGGAGGGGTGGGGGGAAGGGTGAAGAGCTGGGGAGGCCAGGGCTGCTGGGGACGTGACCGCCGGCCGGCGGTGTGCGGGGCAGACTTCCGGAGGTAAGGTTAGGAAACACAGACAGGCTGAGTGTGGCATGAGCTGACGGTGGGGCAGGTGATGTGGAGAAACCACCCAGCGGCCCTGTTGACAGAGCTGGCTGCGAGTGTCAGCTTTGTGCCGCCCGAGTCTGGTTGATCGCGCTTGTGGGGAACCTGGGCCGCTGAACCACAGGCCCTTGCAGTCACCGCGGAGACACGACCGAGGCACTCTTGCCTGTGGGGTGGCAGCATGCGGACCAAGTACCCAGGCCATGGAAGGAATAAAGGAAAGGAGAATAGGAGGAGTTTTCAACATAGTGTTTTTTCTTTTTACGGAAGTCTTTTTTTTTCTTACTTACAACAAATATCCGTTGTAGGAATAATAGAAAATCTGACAAGTGATAAAAGTTATCATCATCCCGTAACACAGTACGTTTTCATCTTTTTTCCACACCAAACCTGTAGCTTGTCAGAAACCTCATGATCGGTGAGGAACCTTAGAGTGGAGTCTTCAGTGATACTCTTTAGGATGGACATTGAGAACAAGGAGGTATGACTCTGAAGCGATGATTCTTTACAATAGGTAGTTATTTTACTCACACCTTGAGCCAGTGGCCCAGCTTCTGGGGAAGCTTTCTCAGGCCTCCAGGTAAGGATTGAGCCCTTTGGTGCAGTTCATGCTGTGTCCAGGAGGGGGTGCCATTGCTCAAAACACTTTGGAAGGCCTGTTGAGATGGTCTAGGATGGGTGTCATCTTACAGGTGCCCTTTTGGGGACCCGAAACAGCTAGCTTGAAGAACAGAATTCTCCAGAGGGATATGAGAGCTGTCTGTGATTATATGAAAGGTTGTCTTTGTGGAGGGGGCAGCAGATTCGTACTGCGTGTCTTAAGCGGCTGGCATAAACCAGATACGGAGAAATTAAAGAGAGGCCTGCTGGCCCACGGGATGCAGAACTTTCTTCCTGACTCTGAAAGTGGTCCGGTCGTAGAGCTGGATAATTCAAGAGGAGGAAAATGAGTGTTCCATCACTGGAGGCATTCAAGTATTGTCTGGATAGACAGTGGAGAGGAAATTTCCACAATGGGTGGGAGGTCGAGATGACATCAAAAGTCCCTTTCAACTATTAAGCGTTCTGTGATTCAGATATGAGTCATAGAATTCAGAGATGATTGTACGACCGGGGATGGCCCGCTGGCTAGAAACAATCCACGGAAAATAGGACATGATGTATAGGAGTCCAGAAAGGAGCACAGTGTGAAGTGAAGGGCAGCGGCTTTGGCATTTGAGTCTGGCTTTAGGCTGTTTATGGACAAGTCCCTTACCCTTTGCTGGGCCTCTAGTCCTCATTTGCAAATGGAAACAACAGCGATACAAGTGTTTATCCTCACAGCGGTATATTTATCCTTACAGGGATTAAATAAATATAATCACACATTCATTCCACAAATGCTTTTTGAGCACCTACTGTGTGTCAGGTATTATCCTAGGTGCTAGGAATACAGTGGTGAATAAAACAGACTTGTCCTTGCCTGGCTGTGAGCCGCTTCTGGAAAATGGGGTGGAACCACAGGAGAGAGACTACAGTAATAAGAATAATAGGGTAAATTCCAATCCTCCCCAAAAGCCAGCAGCCGACTCAGAATGGAAGAGGAGTATTGGTCATCTCCTTTGGAGCCGGCACATTGCCTTCCTTATGATAGGCACTGTTCTAAATACTCTCATATGCACATCGCACGTGATCCTGTCCACTGCCCTAAGTAGTTCACATCATTTCCTGTCCCAACTTAGAGATGAGAGGACCAAGGCCCAGGGAAGTGAGAGTCTGTCCAAGGTCACATAGCTAGTGTTTGGTAGAGTGAGGGTTCACTTCATGCAGTCTCTTTCCAGAGCCCATGCCCCTGGCCACTTCCCCCATTCTGCCGCCATTGTCACTGTGGACACCCATCATTTTCTGGCACCCTGTGAACTGAAGCAGGAAGAGCAGGAAGGTGTGTCGGTCCCCAGGGAGGAGCCTGCAAGAGGTGGGCAGTGTCACTGTGCCTGCCTTATCTGCATTCTTCTGGAAAGCACTTCCTTCCAAGGGCTAGGCAAGTCATAGGCCCCTCTAGACTCTCATGATGCCATTGTGATTGGATTTTGCAATGATGTTTTGCAATGATGTTCTACCCTGCTTCCTCCATGAGACCATGAGTTCTTTGAAAGCAAATGCCTATCTGTTTCATCCTCCATGACCAGCCTTCATTCACTCATTTCTTCATTCATTGAATGACTGTTCGTTGAGCACCTGCCTGCACAGGGCACTCCTGTAAGCAGTAAAGATTCAACAGTGAACCAGACAGAAAATCTCCACACTCACAGGGCAGTGTTGTGTGCTGAGTAAGAGCAGGGACTCTGGACCTAGGCTTGATTCCACCACTTGCCCCTGGGATGATCATGGGCAAGCTATTTAACCTTTCTGTGCCTTGATTTTACAAAATTTAATCAAGAATACTGGGGTACCTGGGTGGCTCAGTCGGTTGAGCGACTGACTTTGGGGCTCAGGTCATGATCTCACAATTCACAGGTTCAAGCCCCGCATTGGGCTCTGTGCTGACAGCTCAGAGCCTGGAGCCTGTGTCTCCCTCTCTCTCGGCCCCTCCCCCACTCGCACTCTTATTCTCTCAAAAATAAACATTAAGAAAAATAAAATTAAAAAAAAGAATACTATTTACTACCATGCAGAGTTGTTGTAAGATCACATGAGTTAATGAAAAGCTCAGAACAGTACCTGGCACATAGCAAGTGAGCTATAGGCATCGCTATTTAGAGAAAGATAGACACTGAGTAACATAAATAAAATATTTAGCATGGCAGATAGTGGTAAGTGCTGTGGAGAAAATTAAAGCCAAGAAGGAGGCATGAGAAAGGACCTGGGGGGTGGTTTGGCATTGTAAGTAGGATGGTCCCAGAACCTGGTAAGAAGCAGACTTCCATAAATGCTCATCAGTCAGAACCACTGACCTGAGCAGCAACCTGGACATAAAAGGAGGGGGGCGGTTATAAAGGCTGAGAGAATCGGGGTGCAAGGCCTTCAGGGAATGAGCTCACGGGCATTGCAAGCAATTGCATAATGATGGGGTAAAAATACAGCCCTCCAGTAATCTGTTCCCCTCCCAGCTGGCTTCCTGCAGGGCGAGACGAGGTGGAGTGAGGGCTAGCCGTGCCTGCGTGGTGACTCACGTGTTCCCACACGCGCCGCCAGCAAGGGGCGGCATGGCCAACACGCCCGGCCACGGTCACCCGGACCTGAATCAGCACCAAGCAGGTCGCGGAGTCCTCCCAGATGGAGATTTCTGGGTGGAAACATCCTCAGGCATCGCCAGCACCCCCCGGCAGCCCGCAGCTGCCTCGGGACAGGCTCGCTCACCCACACCCCCCGGGGCACTGCCCGCCTGTGCTCACACGCTTGTCTTAGTGCTCACTTGTCCCAGCCCCGTGCTCGTGTGTGCACGTGCACATACCCACACGCAGCTCCCCGGGCACACGCCCCACCTCTCTCTGCCTCATGCAGCCCCACGGGCGCACACCCACTTGAAGCTCCCGCACCTGCGAGCCTCCTTCCTCTTGCGCACTTGGGATCTCTTGGCTCCATGGGGCCATCATCCAGACTGATCTGCCTGCTCCGTCATTCCCGCTTTAGGTCTCTTTCTCTTCCGCAGCCATGCCCCTTCTCATGTACACTTATAGACGAGCGGGCACACTCCTTCCCTACCATTCTCTACCCTTTGCCCAGGCCCTCAGCCGTGCACAGTCCCAGGCGCTGGTGTCCCCTCTCTGCTCCTCTGTGCGTGTGTGCACACACACACACGCGCGCGCTTTTTTCTTCTCCCTCACGCACACAGTCTTGCACACATGGTCACTCTCCTTTTCTTTTCTCTCACTCCCCTTTCCTTGCTCATTTACTTGCTCACATTTACCCAAACACATTTATACATTCAAACTCACACTATCCCAACCCCCCCCAACCATGTGTAGGTGTTCATATTTGCAAGAAACCAGCCAGCCCCGCTGATGCTGGGGCCTCCGCTCCTTCCCCAGCCGGCACCACTGCAGTCCCAGCCTGTCACCAGCAGCTTCCTTTGGGGTACGGGCTGGAGGAAGGAGGTGGATAAGGCCACCGTAGGTGCTAGTGATGGCATGACATCACCAGGTGTTGCTCGCACTGTCTCCAGGGGGCGGGCCCAGGGCTGGCCTGCTCCTGACATTTGTAGGGACCAAGGCCACACTGCAGAAGAGGCCCCTGGTGGCACACCACCCTCTGCTGAGTCCTGCTCTGCAAGGGCCCTTGTGTGGCATGTGGGCACATCAGTCTGTGGGTCCAAACATGGTCCACATGCCACCCCGATGCAGCCCTTCGGCCACCCCTCAAACCTAAAGGTACCCAAGCAGGAGGCCACGTCCAGCCGCAGGAGGGTCTACTGCACCTGTGCAGGCTTCAGGATGTTTGGTTAGAGAGTTCTAGTAGCCAGAGCATGGCCTGGAAGGGAAAGCGTGGGCACACCCACTGGGCCCTGTGGACTCCTTGCCCCATGGGGACTGGCATGGCCAGAGGGGAAGGGCCTCAGCCTGGGTCTGAGGACAGCTCTGCTTTTAGAAATAAGGTGCTCCCACAGCATCCCACAGCCGACAGCTGGCTGGAGCCA